GTGGATTACGCCGGATTACGCGGATCACGGAAACGGACTGCGTTTTCGCCACCTCGAGATAGCGCTGATTAATGTGTCTATTCGCACGCGATCACCGCTTCGATCGTGTCAAGGATCCAACCTTCGCCGCGTGACTCGCAGGAATGTGCTCGCACATGGAAGCGCGTCTCTGCTTAAGCAGCACATACTCGCCGCGTACGCGACGTGCTCGTTAAACGGTTCGTTTCGCGATTCTTCCGCGAAAAGTCCAAAGAACGCCCAGCGAACACACCGCCGCGCAGCTCGCGATGACGCGAGCATTCGTCACCACAGAGTTTGACGTTCAGACCGCATAGAAATTTCTTTGAGCTTTCTCGAGAAAAAATTCACCGTCTCCTCTCTCAAACGTGAATTCCCTATCTATTGGGAGTACAAATTAGTTCGGTCCGTTTTTTTGTGTTAAAAAATGTATTTGTTTCAAAACATGAATGAATGAACAGATCAATTAAAGTATTTTCCATCGCTGGCTACTACTTTCTCCTATTTCTCAGGCAATTTTCGAATTCCATCTCGAAATAATGACTCGTCTTTTAAGGCGATCCAAGTTTGGAGCCAATTTTCGATTTCTGCGAAAGAAGTGAACCGGTGACCTGCCAAATCGTGCTGCATCCTTCGGAACAACCAGTAATCAGAAGGAGCAATGTCCGGAGAATACTGCGGGTGCGGTAAAACATCCCATTTGAGCGTTTCCAAATATTTTTTTACGACTTTTGCGACATGAGGCCGAGCGTTGTTATGAAGAAGAATAACTTTATCATGTCTTTGCTCGTATTCCGGCCGTTTTTCTCGCAATGCACGGCTCAGACGAATCAATTGTAGCCGATACCGATCGCCCGTAATGGGATCTTCAGGTTTCAGCAGCTCATAGTAAACAACACCCTTTTGCTCCCAACCAGATACAGAGCATGATCTTCGAACCATGTATGTTCGGCTTTGGTGTTGATGTTGAGGTCGATGGCAACAATTGACCGGGTTTGGCGTAGTATTTTTTCTTCTTGGGGTTGTCGTAGAATATCCACTTCTCATCTCCAGTTACAATCCGATGCAAAAAACCTTTTCTTTGGTGTCTTTGAATCAGCTGCTCGCAAGTGAAAAATCGCCTTTCAACGTCTCTCGGTTTCAGTTCATAAGGCACCCAATTTCCTTGTTTTTGAATAAATCCCATGTCTCTCAATCGTACGGAAACGGCTTGTTGAGTCACTCCCAATGATTCTGCAAGCTCCTCTTGCGTTTGACTCTGATCTTCTTCGAGTAATGCCTCTAATTCTTTGTCCTCGAATTTTTTTGGCTGTCCAGAGCGAGGCTTGTCTTCGACACTGAAATCTCCATCCTTGAAACGGTGAAACCATTCCCTACATGATTTATCAGTTGGAGCAGCGTCACCATAAACTTCAACAAGCATTCGATGGGCTTCAGCTGCACTTTTCTTCCAATTAAAGCAGAAAATTAAAGCCTCCCGCAAATGCTGCTTGGTTAACGCAAAATTCGACATTTTCAACACTGTAAAAAGCAAGGTTTTTGTATGAAACTCAAAGCGATATAAACTGAATATTATTGGCAGATGTCTAACCTCTCTGAAACCGCCAAAATCGGCAGTCACTATGAACCATTCATAACAGCCGGAGCCATCTTTTGAAAACGGACCGAACAAATTTGTACACCTAATAGATTCGAAACAAAAATACCACGAGAAGTCGCCAACTTTTTTTTTCGATAAGCAACGTTGAACTTTTTTATGGTATTAAATAGAGAATTTTAATTTCACAACTATCATCAACTATTTTCAACAGAATGAAAAGTATAAAAAGATAAAATTCTAAACTAAAACTAACCAAAATAAAGTTCCAATGTGAAATGAAGACTAGAAAGGAAATATTGGCGAAATTTTGGGTTGCCCGCTTAGAATCGCGAATTTCTGTCAGATTTCTGCTTAGATTTCGGACTGGACGAAATCCCGCGAAATTTTTTTACGCGGGAGAGGACGTGAGAGAGACCGAGGCGAATTAACGCGACTCACAAAGTTATCATGCTGATTCTCTCCTTCTGTCGCGGGCGAGTGAGAAAAAGTGCGGTAAATGGCTCGCTGGATTTTATCGGGAGTATTTTTCGCGAATTCTTTCGCGCGCCTCGAATCGCGGAAGATATGAATCACACGAGGATCCTTCGCCGTGACGGAAGGTCATCGCGAACGCGCTCGCGAGTGCAAACCCGCTGCAAGTCTCAGCCGCAAAGATTGCTAGCGGTTATTTTTGCGGCGCAGACGCGGAATGACTCATCGAACGATCGCGATACCGTCGGTCGATGCGTTTAACCCACTTTTAGATCGCGCCCTTCGACCGACGTTGCAGCGGAGAATCTACGACGCTCGGAAATATGAGAAAGATACACACGCGAGTTCGATAGAACATAGGAGTATCAGCCGACTTATTCAAGCTATCAACCTGTCAGTTTCAGTCGCGCGGAATCCTAGCGGGAATTTCGCGCGACGCAAATGATACGATTCACCGACGAGCCGCTAGTCGCGTGTACGTTTATACACCGGTTACTAGGTGTAACCTACTGAGCGTGACTTATTTAGATCACTTTGCGTGCTGACGCTGTAATTTAGAAGCCGCCATAAATAATATAACACGGGGACGCACACGCGCATACGCTAATTGACGCTCGAGATCGCTGTGCGAAGACGACGAGGTCGGAATTGCATTTCGTTTCGATACTCGTGTCAGATAAAATTACGCATTATCAAGATGCAGTAAATCGTAGGGCCTGCTTTACGTGTATGCTGCCGACAGCAGTGTTTAAACTGAAAATTTATACTAAAGGATAAAATTTATAAGCGATATTTTGTATTAAGCTTCTCTGAGATATTCAATCACTAAGGATCATAATAATTAAGGCTAATCAAAGCCACGCAAGAGGATGTCGGCAGCGATACTTTTTTTCTTTACGAGAGAATAACAACGTCGGCGATAATAAGAGTACATAGAATCGGTAGACGCGATAGAACGGCGGCCATTTGCTTCATAAGCGTTTGTTAAAAGCCGAGGAAAATCTTGACACGTGCGATACATCGTCGACACATTATCTTCCCGTAAAGAAAAAATTATTCGCTATCAATGTCTTTGTAGTTTATATCGGCCTAAATGATAAATTATTAGCGATTAAATAAAATTTATACTTTGGATGTATATGACATTTTTATATTATTTATAGTTATTTTATTAAAGTTACATTTACACAATACGACTTTACTTTATATAACAAAAGCGATTGATCTAAACAATTTGAATTGAGTTCAACGAATTCAGTTTCAAGATTGTGTATGACAAACTATCGCTTATAGCAAAATTTTGCAAGGGATGCTTAAATTTTTCGTTTGTGTAGAAAAAGCTCGAAATTTACTTCAATAATTTACGAGAAGCTGACACAATACATTACTGATTATATTTATCGTCTAATTTATTCAACTTTCCATTTGAGATAAAATTATTCATATTATTCAGTTGAATCAACTTCCTGATGATTAAAAGAACATTTTATATTTGTATCATACATAATAATTACATTTCGGTTTTGTTAATCTTTCATCGTTGATTAAGTTTCATGGAAACTTAATCTAAACGTCTACATTGTCGACTTAATTCGTTTTTTATTCAATTCGATTCGATTATGCAATAAATCTTGTCTAACCTCAATTTGTTTATCTAATGTCCTCAGAGCAACGCACATACCACGAGAGAAAAAAATGTTTGGTACATGAGACAAAAATAGCGCAGCAAAGTAATTGTACCCAGAAAGTCCATTTTTGTAACAAGTGCTCTACGTATGTAGAGCCATTGATAATAATTTCATATATCGCAAGCTATTTGCTCTTCGTCAGGCCGAGACACACAGTCGCTGCCGAAAATGACCAAAATTCACAGCGAGTTTCTTCTTCCCTCTGCGTGCGGATACCGAATCTTCCTGTGAATTTACGCAAACACTCCCCTTCCCTCACGGGCAACTCCGTGGCGTTTCAACTTTGCAATTGCGCCTCCATAACGCCTCGTCGGCGAGACGATCGCGTTGTCGATCGCTGGAAATCGGATTAACACGCCTTAACGGAGAGCGAGAGAGAAAGAGAGAGGTATAGTCACGCATCGGGAGAGCCGCGAGGGAGAGCCGCGCTCGCTCGCGCGAGGCGATGTGGCGATTTATCGTCCCGAGCTTTCCGCTGAAGCATCTCGACTGACTTCCGGCAGACTTGGCTATCGGCGGATCGACATCGCTCTTTCGTGGTAGAATACTCAATTACCTGGCCCCGAGTTCCCGCTCCCGTGCACCTTCTTTTGCCTCCCCCACCCCCGGGGCAACCCTTCGCTGGGCATTTTTCCTTTTTCTCGCCGGAACACGCACGATCGGCCGGCTGGTCGTATACGAATTCGCGGGCTCTCTTTCTTTCTCTCTTTCTCTCTCGCGCGTGCCGATTAAGTTTATCTTCTACGGCGGCGGGGAGAGACCTCCAGCCAGCCGGACGACGCGGCGTTGAACAATTAATTAATCGTTAATAAATCGCAAGGCTGCCGTTCCTCTGGCCGCTCCGGACTGCCTACCCGCGAGAGAACTCAATGTGGGCTTTCGCTTCTCGCGTAATTTAATTATACCGCTTTAATATGTCGGCCGGTGAGTTACGCGTTCTTACTCGTCGCCGATTCATATCGCGTTGATTCATTATTTAGATTCAACACACTCTCGGCCTCCTTAATGATATGCTCGTGAACTTTATTATGCTAATGCCCCCGTCGACCTCCTCCTCCTCCTCCTCCTCCTCCTCCTCCTTCTCCTCCTCCTCCTCCTCCTCCTCCTCCCCCCCACGTGTCACTCCCGTCTCGCTGTGCCCGTCGGTATGCGCGAGGTTTCTTTCTCTCTCGCGCCGAGATCCTGGCGAAATTTCACGGACCACCGGACACGGTCTGTTTCAGGTCCCGACATATCCGGATTCCTGCTCCAGCCCTTTAGGAAACCGAAGAGAATAAGGACGGCCTTCAGCCCGAGCCAGCTGCTGAAGCTGGAGCACGCGTTCGAGAAGAATCACTACGTCGTAGGCGCGGAGAGGAAGCAGTTGGCGCAGGCGTTGTCGCTGACAGAGACGCAGGTGAGAAAGCGCGAGAGAACGACGGAGAAAGGAAAGAAGGAAAGAGAACACGAGGCGATAGATGATCGCTGCGAAAATAGATTGAAGCCCGAATGACTCGCTATTGTGTTCTTACTATTTCGATATCTGCCTTGCGACGTGCCAATTATAACAATGCAATAACGGGATACGCGTCGTGGGGATTATTAAACTTTTAACAAGATCAGAGGTCGCGAGCGACGATCGATAATTGGATATTATTTAATACACGAGAGAGCACGTCGTCTATTACCGACGAGCAAGATCGGTAACGTGAAAATAGCAGGCGCGATTAATAAAGCGACGTCAGCGGCGGCTCGACATCAGCATTCCCGGGACGTGTTAGGCAACATTGATACCTGCGCCGTGAGAAGAGCGCGCGACGAGACGTCGCGGTCTCACACGAGAAGAAGATGCATTCGCATGACGCAGCGCTCCTTCGTTGTTTCCGCTGTTCGTTTCGCGGCAATGATCGCCTCATTTGCACTTGGTTCGCGCGCGTGTGATACACTCTTGTTGATTCATAAAAAAGCTATTACCGTCGCGGCCAGATGACATTTTTTGGTTCAAAATTCTCTAGAGACCTGAATTTCCTACCGATTATCGACACCAATGGATGAGGTTGACCCTGAATAAATTCCAAAGAGATCTGCCTAGCCGAAATTTTGAAAAAATTATCGGTTCAGGGTTCATGGGTTTAAGGTTTGTCTTAAAAGTTTATCGTTTAAAATACATTGTCTTGGGTTCGACCTCAATGGATTCGAGCCTATGGATACTAAATGCGAGAACTTATAATCACCTTTTAGAAAACTCAGAATTTCACAGCTCATCATTTCAGCCCACATTGAGAAAGAATTAAGCCACATGGACCCAATAAGTAAAAACGTGGAGAACACTGAACAAAACATCCAACCTTAACTTGATGGTCCATGAGCTGGTCCAAAGTTTATAAACCTCAGCTCATAAGCCATCATACAGAGATAGAAAGTATCTTTCATAGTTTCAATCCGCTGTGAATACGCTATTAGATAGAAATAAGTGTCGAACAATGAGTATTTCACAAGTTTCTCGCGTTTAACGATAATTTTTCCTCCTTTGGGGCTCTTTTGGGGCTAGTAATTCGAGAATAAACATTTTTTTAATTCTGACGAGATAGATCTCTTCGGAATTTATTCAGGATCAACCTCTCATCCATTGGTGTCGATGATCGGTTGGAAATTCAGATCTCTAGAGAATTTTGAACCAAAGAATGTCATCTGGCCCCATTGTGTGGTGGTGCGATGTGTGTCCGTTGAGACACACAAAGGCCCGGCGACGTAACGAAAAGGAAGAAGAGGAGCAGAAGAGAAAAAACCGCGAACGGGACGAACAATCTTTCGTCGGTGTCAACATCGCGACTACCGAGTTTGTAATTCCCTGTGAAAAATTACGCGAATTTATATAACGACGCGTTTTGCGTTTTTATTGGACGTTGAGCGAAAGCGAACAGAGTAAACGGCTTCGCCAACGGCTTGCACAACGTATTCTTTCGAAAACCCGTTATTTCAATCGTCGGCGGTTTCGACGGTTAAACGTTGACGTTGACGTGAAAGCAACACGTTGACGTTGATCGCACATTCTTTGAAGTTCTTCGAGTGGAATTTCGCTCGAAGAGCAGAGCCGAGCCACTGGAGTTGCATGATTTTCCGTCCTTAAATTCACCGAGTAGATACTTTTGCTCGAAATGAAACGATGAGTCTGACGTGCCTGACGTCGTCGATCGCGGAACATTAATGTTACGTAACTGTGGCTGAAATTCGGAGAGTACAGAAACTCAACTAACGATTGACTCACAAAAGCTTAACCGGCGATTGAGTTAGCAGATTTATCAGACGGCAAGTAAGTGTGATCCGAGACGCGTATAGCACTAATCTCGCTTCATTGGCTCTCTCTCGGTCGTATGATCGATTTTCTAAATGCGATTAATTACACTTTGCACGTAAGTTAATGAGACGCGGTAAAATCAGTGTGGTCAGCGATCGCCGGTGACATCGTCGTGACATTCAGCGTGTCGAACGAGCGAATTGCGAATCGCCTCTTCATCGAGATTTTCCTCGACTCGCATTCTTGGTTTTACCGATTGCTTATTTTTATCCTCCTCTCTTCTTCCCGTCGCCTCGTTCCTCGTCCTCTTTCAACGTTTCATCGAATGACTCGCTTTTCGTGAGAAAAGCGGCACAGCGTTAGACATCCTAACGAGCGAGTCGATGATTTCGTTCACTTCACTCGCTCGTGCAAAAACTATCAGCCGTTATAGCGCGTGTATATACGCGCGGGCTAATGCACGGTGTGTTTCAACGGTAATTTTATACACGGCAATTACATAACGCACCGGACGCGACGGATTAATGCAATCCGTCGGTAGTATTTATTAACGACATCATTGATATTTATTATCACCGTGCCCGAGAGTGTCGGAATGCATTAATCTCTCGTTAATAATACTCCGCGGTCGGACGCGCGGGAACCTCCTTGAACCGCGAGAATGGCGGAAACAAAATCGCACCAAGATCCGAGCAGAGTTAGCTGGATTCCGCGAGCGGAGTCGCAGGACTTAAATTACGCGATGCAGCAAATGCCGACGCATCGTCCTCATTATTGTCTTCGAATTCGAGTGCGCTGCGGCCGAGAATACGGCCGAGGAAAACGGGGCTCGCGAACGAAGGAGAAAATATTAAACGACCAAATGACGCGTTCAGTTCGAAGTCGATGCGAAATGGCGGTAAAACAATCGGAATCTAAATCGCTTTGCCGTGTTCATGAGGAAAACTTTTTCTTTACACAGCTAATAAATCTACGTTCGCGCAAACGTTAATGGCGTCGGCGAGAAGGGAAACGTGTGAGCCCGAAAGAGAAATAGAGAAAGGGAGAGGGAGGTGGAGAAGAACAGACTGTCGCACAAGGCAGCAGCATAATGAGGGGATTGATATGCTAATTCACGCCGCCGAAGGGGTGGCCGCGTGTCCTTCTCCCGACACGATATTTTTAGTGCGCGCACACGCACCTCGGCGAGCCGCGCGCAATCGCGCGCGCACGGCCCAGATGCGCTCTATGTGCGCACATCACGCGCACCCGCCGCGTTGCGTATTCCATGGGCGCAACGCGCGCCAAAAAAGGGCGAGATGGGCTGACAGTATCGGGAATTAAGCCGAGAGGGAGATAACGGAGAGAGGGAGAAAACGGAGAACTACCGTGGCATGGAGGCCATCTTGGGCGCCGCCGCCGCCGCCGCCGACAGGACTCTCCAAACAGGCTTCCGCCGCGTTCTCCTCTTCGTCCTTCTCTCCAGGCACGTCCCCCGACTCTTGTTGCACGTCGTCTCGCGACTGTGTCCCGCAGAAAATATCGCCGTACCGCCGCGTGACGTTTCTTTTCTTGCTCGTGTCCTCGCGCGCGCGCGCACTTTGTGAGGCCGCGAAATTCGAGCGCGCGCGCGCGCGGGGGCTTGCGATGGAATCCGAGACTCACCCCTCGCTTTGTGCGCGATGTGAGAACTCTCAGGCCCGGTCGCACCAACGGTATTTTGGTTTCATGCGGGACTTAAATATGTATCTGTCTTGAAAAGAAAGGATAGACTTACGTTGAAGTCTCGCTTGAAAACAAAATAATGTCGGTGCAACCGGGCCTTATTCCGCTAATTGTCATTCTTCCGAATAGCATTTTATGTTACATCTTGTGTGTAATCGTTTATTGGTGTCACTCGTATTGTTTGCATTTATATCAAACTGAAAAAAGTACTTGCGGTCCTCGGTGATTTTTTTTTGGAGATTGCTCAGAATCATTGACGTAAATCTAGGAGGACGTAAATCTAATTGGAGATGAGGGGAAGTTACGATATATTTCACTGCAATTTCTTCGTGTATATCCGGTTTGGTTCCAGTTTGCGCTGTAAGAGTGACGTTTGCAGTCAGCTGGGATAGTGTTTGAAAAAACTCATTATATCAATTTATTGTAAGTTGCCAATGCACTGTACGATGTATGCAAACAAAGTGAGCCTGATGCGCCGGACAGGCGCTCATTTTTTCTTCGACCTTGGAATCCAGAAATGTTATCGTCATTGCGCAAATCCGTATCTGTAGTAGTTTACTCAATATACAACAATATAAAGAATATTATCACATTAGCGCTGAAAGAAGACTTTGTGCGTTGCACGCAAGTCATCGTATAATATACATAACATAAAAACACATTTCGAAAGTAAATGTATTTACTTCAGTAGTAAATTTATTTATTTAAATTTAATTATTTCAAGAACGTATATTTCTATTAAAGGAAATCCTTCGTCGCACACGACATCCCTATCGAGAACAATCACTTCCGCAAATTTCCCGTCAAGATATCTTTCTACGTCGATAGTCAGAAAACGAAAACTTTAGAAGCGAACACGCAACCAAGAATAATCAAAGTAAAGATCTGCATCGTATACTTGAAAGCTTCAATTTTTACTTGGTTATTCTTTCGTTTCTAATTATAAAATAACACATATCCAAGAGCAGAGTTATTCCCCGTGATGGGACTCTGGGGGCGTTGGACGTAAGCGGGAATGTTAAAGTACTTTCGTTCACTCATCGAAATCAATCTAATGCGGCGTAAGGTCGAAGTACGCCAAGGAAACTGAGCACATGTAGGGAAGGTACATACAATGTAAAGAAGACACGGACAAATGACACGGGCGCTATCGTGTCGCAAGAGAAAAGCCCTGGTCACTTGGTGATGCAAATCGTCCGCTGCAGCGTGAATAAGATAAGCTGAATGGTAATTCGGAAAATTTGTCGCGCCAGCAGCGCGGCGGTCTCGCAGTTTCTTGTTTTAACTGTGAGGCCAACTCGCGCGTAAATGCCTATCGAGGGAAACGCGACCACCCGAACGAGCAATTACGCACAAATCCGGCCGACACTCCGCGTCATTAGGTATTCGCGCGGTCGCGAGAATAAATAATAATA